GTGTAGGAGGAACTCGACAGTGATGGAGGAGGCAGCCCCTCCTTACCTCACAGCAACTGGATGGACACCACCAACTTGTACTTTTCAAATCCCTAGTTAAAGGAGAGTCTTAAACTCTGTAATTTAAGAGCTGTTACTTGTTAACACAGCTTGATTACAACTACTTAAGCAACCTGTGCAGTACTAACTTGAAAAGGGTCTAGTCACAGACAACTGCTTGCTAAAAACATGTGATACATGTTTTGGGGGTGGCAGGAACTCAAGAGGCAATTAAAACAGACCAGAGACTCTCCAGTTTTGAAGTCCCCATCACTCTGCTAGAGGCAAGAACACACTGTAAATTGTTACCTTCATCTACTCTACACCTGTATTCTTTTCTAAATAGATGATGGAGCCAGCCAGACCTTTGGGCTCATAAAGCCTTGCCATTCTCATACACCCCCTCAAGTAAGAGCATCTGATAACAGCAGTGCATTGTAGCACTGCTGTTGTTATGATTGTCAATAACAGGCCCTTTCTCATTGCCCTTTTAGAAGTGAAGTTTCTGGTCTCCTTTAATAGACTTTTTAGTAGAAAATGTTCTTATTCAGAAGCAGTGAAGTCTTAACATGACAGAGATATCACCTAGAGAAAAAGGACTCTGCCGAGTACAACATGCATTCCCAAGAATTCTTGTTTACTGGAATAGAAAAACATTCTTTCAGTACCAAATACTGGTTCAGTAAACAGTGTTCAGCACCAGTATTTATAGCTGTGCTTTTAGGTTTGGTTTCATAGGGACATCACCACATACAGACATTTCCTGCTACCACAATGGCATTGGCTACAAGAGCTTCCCACACTCAGGCAAGTCACCAGGAGGGGACAGGGGGACACAGAAATAGAGCCAACAGTACCTGTAGGTTTCAGCCTGCTTTGAGAAACTGTGCCAGTACCACTGCCTCACTCAACATCATCCATTCCCTCCCCTGCAAAACAGCTTTGGAATCTGTTAGCCTACTTGAACCAGATTAGGAAGAAGCCTAGGAAGCATGACAAAAGCCCTCAGAGAGATCAAGAGGCTGGGAAGGAGAGGCAGTCAAAACTCACTCTGTGGCCAGCTGGCTGCTGCTAAGTGGAGGAGTATGCACACAGTTTGAAAACAACATTGTTCCATGGGGGAGACGCCAATATATTCTCCCTAAGACAGTGTGCTAGTAAAATACTATTCCCTGCAAACATTTAAGTCTCCCCTAAGTATCACTGTGGGCCAAAAGAATCTCAGACAACAACATGACACTGAACATCCACGGCAGAGTCACTAGTAAGCCTGAGCAGGGAAGTCTGGCAAGGAGGAGGACAAGCCCAGAGGAACACACAGTAACCAGCTAAACTGATGAGTCACAGAAGGCAGTTGATGTGCTGACGTACATCCCACCAGCAAGTGGAAGCCCATATATTTCTACAAGATGCTGTACTCTGATGCTATCAGAGGAAACAATCACCAGCCACGCCCACTCATGACAAAACAGCCTTTTAACAAAAAGAGCCAAAGCTTCCTGTGACCAGGAGAAAAGGAAAGTTGAGTAGCCTTTACCCATGTTTCTAAAAGTCAGACATTTGGAGGTCTCAAGCAAGCATAAAATTTTGCTTCTAATGCAATCTTTGTAAAAAAAGGCTTAAGGGAACATAACTACACAGGTGACCATTAACAGGGACATTTGAGGTGGACTTAACTCAAGTCCATTTTCCATCAGCATTTACAGTGATCCTTTTCCTCATCATTCCTAATAAAAAGCTTGCTTAGTAATAAGGCCATTCTGCAAAACCATCACCATGGTGGTTTTCATTTTCGTGCTAGTTCAGAAAAGGCACTTCTACCTTCACTTCCCCCCACCCCTTCTCTCCAAGCAATAGGAATAGGTGAACAAGATAAAAAACATTACCAGGAATGAAGCAAGCCACATTAAGGCAAGAAGCAGCTAGATACACCAGCAGATATGGATGTGCTGATTCCTGCGTGCTAATTACTGACAAATGAGGTAACGGGGAAAAAAAAGAAACACACAAGCTGTGGCTCCGATCTCTTCTTTGCTAGAATTCTTCCTAACTCCAGTCCAGAGGAATCCTTTACCTGGCTTCTCTTTCTTGCAGCAAGACCTCCGTCTTCCTCTTCAGACGAGAAGGTCCTGTGTATCCTCAGGGAAATCTGGGACTCTACAGTAAGTCAGTTTCAACTTTGCCTTTACCAAACCCTCGAAGTTACATAGTTAGAAACAGTACACCCCTATCGGCAGCAGCCTGCAGATGAAAGTCCTGTCCTTTTCAACAGGTTGATCCTATTTAATCGCAATGAAAAGGAGTCACACTTGCTATGCACCGGGCTTGAGTAGAGAAACGGCAACATGACATTTCGTTTGCCTTCTTACTGATAGTAAAGCAGAACCCAAACCCCACCCCTCCAAAATAAGCAAACCCCACTAAACCGGGAAGCATTACTAATGCAGGCTGCTTAGTCCGGATAGAAAAGTTGTGCCAGGACCTTAACATTAAGGAGAGGCACACAAGCTTTCCAGCAGCCCTCCCCGGGGGAGCCTTCGCCGGCAGGTGCCGGGAGGGGGCCGAGCCGTGCCGGGCCGTGCCGCGCTCGCTGTCCCGCACGCTCGGGGCCGATGAGGCAGCGGGGCTCCCGCCCAGCTCCCGAGCGCGTCACGGCCGGCGCGGCTCCCCCGGCCCGCGGGAGGCGGCGGCGGCCCGGCCTGACTCACCGCGGGGGGGGCGGGCGCGCCGGCCCGGGCTGCGGGCGGCGGCCCCCGGCCCCCTGCCCCGCGGCAGGTGCGCCGCCAAGTTGCGAGCGGGGCGCGGCACTCACCCAGCACTTTCTTCGCCGACTCGGCCGCCGCGGTTGTGGCTGCGGCGGCGGCGCCGGGGGCCGCCTCGGCGACCGCCGCACCCGGCGCGGAGGCGCTGGCGGGGCTCTTGGGAGCGGCGTCCGGCGCGGCGGCCGCGGCCGGGACGGGCGGCGCGGCGGGCGCGGGGCTGGCGGCGCTGGTCTCCGGCGCCTCGCTCATGCTGCCGGGCGGAGGTGTTGGCTGCTCGGCCGCGTTCGGTCTTACTGCCCCCAAAATGGCCCCGCCGAAGTTTTAACACAGTCAGCGGGGGCCGGCGCGGCACGCGCGCCGCCTCATTAGCATTTAAAGGGGCCGCGCCGGCAGCCGGCTGTGCGTCCCGTGTCGGCGCGGCGCGGCACGGCACGAGGGGAGAATCTACAGTCTACAACTCATCGCATGCAGTCTGCAACTTCTTGGCGAGGGGAAGCGGAGGGGCAGGCGCTGATCGGCGCTCTCTGGTGACTAAGGACGGGACCCGGGGCACGGACTCAGGGGAGGTTAGGGTGGCTGTCAGGACAAGGTTCTTCCCCAGAAGGTGTCGGGCACTGAACAGGCTCCCAGGGAATGGTCACGGCCCCAAGGCTGCCAGAGCTCCAGCAGCGTTTGGACAGCGCTCTCAGGGATGCACGGGGTGGGGTTGTTGGGAACGGTCTCGCGCAGAGCCGGGAACGACTCCATGATCCTTGTGGGTCCCTTCCAAGAGCGGGCGCATTCCCTGATTCGGGGGCACGGTACTGCACGGCGTGGGTGGGCGCTTGTCCGTGCCTGTCAGTGCGGACACACGTGGCCACGCGTGCACACAGGTGTGAGTGTCCCGGTGTCCCGGTGTCCGTGTCCCGGTGTCCGTGTCCGGGTCCCCGCGGCCGCCCCGCTCGGGCGCTGTGCGGGGCAGGCGCTGGAGCGAGGCTGGGGCGGCTCCGCCCGATGGGTTTGGGGCGCGGGCGCTCCGCGGCTGAGGGACACCGGGACACGCGGGCACCGGGACACGCGGGCACCGGGACACGCGGGCACCGGGACACGCGGACACCGGGCCACTTACACCTGGGGTCTCCCGGTGTGTGCATTGGCGCGGTCACTCCTATTTCTTCCCACTCTCCTCCCGTCGGCGCTGCCATTCCCGCCGTGTCCTCCAGCTCCCACCTCCCAGGGCATTTCGTTTTCCCGCTGCTGCCTCATTTCGCTGCCGCTGCCCGTAAATCTCTCTCGGCTTCTCGCCTTTGTCTCCTTCCTTTTCCCTGTCCTTCTCCCAGTTTTTGTACAGCCTCCACGAGTGTAGTTTTGGTGATGTTTCTGCTCTCTTCTGCCGTTTGCACTCACCAGCACCCCGTCTTTATTCCACATTCTCCCCACAGAACTTTCTGCTTATGCCTATCATTTTGTCCCACATGGATGCCTGAACTGAAGCATCGAGGACATGGCCTTCTCCACTTCCTCCACAGGCAAGGAAATAAAGTGTTTCTACACGCACAAAGTTTTCCTTACTTCTCTGCATACCTGAACACGCAAGGGCACGGTCCTTTTTGGTTTTTTTTCCTTTATCTGATCTCCGCTTCTCAACTATTCCTTGACAGTTCTTACAGCTAAAGAGACGGGCTTTGGAGAGCATCCTTTGCTGAACCTGCCTGAGACAGCAAAGCCAGCTGCTATTGCACTTCTCACTGCATCCCTCTGTACACATAAAAAAACAACAAATATTGTTTTATCCCATAGCTTTTAATCCTCAGTGCTGTGTTCATTCCATTACTTTAAGAATAGGTCACTGTTTCATTTTTCAGTGTACATGAAAATTTCTAAGAGGGTGCTAATTGGAATAAATTTCAAGAGGATAGTTTAATTATGTTATAGAAATTGTATAATCAAGACACTGATGTGCACTTGATATATCAAATTTATTTTCAGTGAAGTTGTTAAGTTGATTTTTTCCTTCCTCGGGTTAATTTTAGAGTTTATTAAAAAGCCCACTAAATAAAAAACTACAGTATACAATTTGTGATATATACTGTGACAGAAAATTGGCAATGTTTTCCTCTGTTTTTAAAAATTTTATTTTAATATAAAAAAAAGAATTATAGAGTAATCTCATTTCTCCTTTTCTTGCTGCCAATTAATAATACATTTCCTCTGCTTCAGTATTCAAAGTCATTTCAAGAATTATATTGGAAGAAATCAATCCACCAACTCAAGTAACAAAAACATTTGCATGGGGAAAGTAATTTCTGCTTCTCTATATTCTCTGAATACTTCCCCTCAACTTGCTGTCAATTACTATTTTATAGAATTTAGAGCAATACAGAATCACAGATTTGTTGACACTGGCTTGTCCTTCATGTGTCTGGAAATCCAGGATTAATTGCTCCATACCTTTCTCATGGATCTAGATGAGGCTGACTTCCTTTCTTAAGTGAACTGGAAGCTCAGACCCCTTAAGTATAGAGATAATTACATATTTCTTAATTAGATGGTCACAAATTTCTCCTTTCACAGGATGTTCCCTTTTTTTTTTTTAGTGAATGAGCTGGTTTGCAATAGTCCCTTTCACCCTCCTCACTTGATGTGCAATTATTCAACATACTATGTAGCCCTCAGACTGGATGCAGAATTATTCCTTCCCTTCTTTCTCCAGGGTCCTGTGAGGATTCAACCAACCCCAGTGAATTTGGAGCGCTGAGAACTGGCAAAAGCATCCCATAAAATTTCTGGATCCCACAGGTACAGTTTGTTTGGTGATTTATGTATATAAAGAATAACTTCTTCTGTTTATAAGGTGACTCTTCAGGGGCCTCAGGCTCTGCTGAGAAATCTGAGGGGAAAATCAGGATTGTAAAGATTTTACATGGTAAGGGGATATGCAAGGTGCCTGCAGGTCTGGAGCAGGACACACTGATCCCATAAGGAAATGCAAAGACAGATTGAAATACCAGATTTTGTAATTAAAAAATGTGGTGCTCATCAAAACATAAACATTTTGCAGATACCAATCAATTTCTGTAATTGTATTTCTTGGGGGAAAACAAACAAAACCCCAAAAAACGCCTTCAATAAAGAAGAAAGGTTCTATTTCAACAATTGCAAAAACGAATATTTTAACACTGCACTTCCAAATAATTTCATGTACTGAAATTTTTTCAAAAAATATACAAATACACAGATATTAGTGTATATAATATATAATGTATATTATATATTATATATCTATAATACATATTATATATAATAAATATTATAATATATAATTATATATTATATACTCTCTTATATATATTATATATTATATATTATATATTATATATTATATATTATATATTATATACTCTCTTATATATATTATATATTATATATACTAATATATAATTTTTATATGTATAAATTGATCCTGAATTATTTTTTTTACAGTAAACAGTATAGTGTGTAATATATATTACATTTATCTTGTCAAGAGCTGCTTCTCAAAGAATATCTTTAATGTTGGAATGGAGGCAGTTTTACAAAATCTACCGAGTTGTTTAAAGGTTGGGGATTTTTGGTTTTTTGTTGAAGACTTTCATTAAGGGGGAAAGCGCCAAACCTGACAATGACTTTAATGGGAAGTATTGTGAATTTTAAATCTAAAAGTAATCGAAATGGTTTCTAGGTTAAGTATCTGCAAACACACTATTTGCAGTCAAATGCAAAATGCTGCTCCACCAAGCAGGGGGCTTCAAAGTGAGATGTCAGGGACAGGTAAAGAATAAAAAATATTTCCCGTTGGAGCCGTGGGAGGCGATGTGGGACAAGGTAACAAAGTTCCTGCAGAGGAACTGACAGTTCCTGACAGGGCTCCTCGATTTCCACGTAGCTCTGCAAGCACCTCCCAGCCCTCTCTGAGGAGGGCTTAAAAATAATAAAACTTCCAGCGGACAATTTATGAGAGAAGTCTGTGAACTGAGAGCATGCTAGTCAAGAATTTTAGGCAAAATAAATTAACAAAATACTTCAAAACTCGTCAAAGGATCCGGCTGGATATGTTAAGTGGATGTATGGTGGTCTACATATATCTGCTCTATTGTGGGAAATGAAGAACAATTCATTCCAAAATAACCCAGAGCTTGGCATTGACCTGGGAATTGTTAGATTGAATTCACTCTACCACAGAGAGGATGCGTCTCAAATTCGAGGAACTTACAATTTTGGATCCTTCCAGCTGGAAGGATTTAAAGGACTTGCCACAAGGATTTCAGTGTTGCAAAACACGGGAAAAACTCTGAGTTCATTAAGGCTGTGATCTGTGAAAAACCTGATTCTGGGCCAGAGCCGAAAGAGATGAAACTGGGAAAAGAGGTGATGATGATGACAGTGATGGTGATGATGGTCCTGTTCCCTGGCTGCTGCTCTGTCTCTGCTCCTGCCAAGGCTCCTGAGGGGTTGATGTGACATGAGGCAAGTGCACAGGAGGCGGTGCTGCTCCAGCAGCCGAAGGTGCAGCTGGAAGGACCTGATCGAGACAAGAATCGGCTCTGCTGAGCGCCGAAACGGGGCTGGCAGAGCCCCCAGCGCCTCCCTGGGGTCGGGGCAGGCAGGGGGGCTGCGAGAGACAGCGGAGCCCTGCGGAGCCGTGCTGGGAGCGGGGAGCTCGGACACAGCCTGGGCGGAGGCAGGGGAGCCGTGAGCTCGGACACAGCCCGGCCCTTGGGTGTCACGGCTCCTTCTGCAGCCATTGCCGCCCGTGCCAGCGGGCACCTCCGTGGGACCACACCAAAGATGGCGGCGCAGCCGGAAGTGGCTTCTGCCAGCACAAAAGGCATGGAGTCAAACGGTGCCGCACCGAAGAGAGCATCTCCTTCGGCAGCCACTTCCGCCAGTAGCAAAGATGGCGGGATAACGCGTGTACTCACGCGAGACCACACCAAAGATGGCGTGTCACTTTGCCCTTACTTGTGCCAGCATCAAAGATGGCGGACCCCAGATACATACATACATACATACATACATACATACATACATGCATGCATGCATGCATATACACACACACACATATATGCACATACACACACACACACACACGGCTGTGGTCGCGTGATGCCGCACTAAATACAGCGTCCCATCCTGAAAATGACTCCTGCCCGTACTCGGCGTGATGGCACGAGCAGAGAAGTCACGTTGTGCCACACCAAAGATGGCGTCTTAACAGGAAGTGACTTCTGCCAGCACCCAAGATAGCGGTCGAGACCGAAAGTCAGACTATGCCACACCTAAGATGGCGGATCGGCACTGACATTATTTGACCTTCCAAATATGGCGGTAATTTACGCATGCGCCTTGGGTAGGGGAGGAAATGGAGTGCTGGAAGGAGCCGGGATGGGAATGGGTACACGGGATGGCGACACGGGAAATTCTTTTCAAACCGAGGCTGTTCACTGGTTATGGTCAGCTTCTTCTCCTAAATCCTGGTGGTTCCTTAAGGACGGAGAGGAGGTGGGAGGATGTTTGTTGTGTCTGATAAGGAGGCTGTAACTCTTAGGTATCTTGTTGCTGTTATCTCTGTGCAAAGAATTTCTTGATTGTTTCATCCCTTCCTTGAGCTAGTTAAAAAATATCTTACATTGCACAGTTTCTATTATAATATTATGTTATAACCTAAAACTGTATCTACCACATTACTTAAAAAGGATTAATACAGTACTACAAAATAACTTTCCAACGTAACAAACACAGTATTCAATTTAATATTTGCACAGGGCCAATAATTTAATTTAATGTTCATTTTTCACACTCCTCCTGTGGCATGCACGTTCCTTCCTCCCAGGCAGGCTCTGGGCTTGGATTCCTTGGCTGGCAATTGCTTGTGCAGGGAGCAGAGCATTTAAGGGGAAAGCAAAGCTGGGGATGTTCTGGCTTCAGGAAGAGACTGCAGAGAGATCCTTTGGGAAAGGACAGTGAACTTTTCCAGCTGGAAACAAGGGACAGTGAGCTTTTCCAAAACTAGCCAGTGGGGTGTGAAGGTGTGGGGCAGTCTGGAAGGCTCCTTGTGCCCAAAGGATCCAGGCAAGTGCAGCTCTGGAAAAGTCTGAAGTAAACCTTGGCCTGCCGCTTGTTGAGCTTGGAAGAGATGCTGAGTGTGAAATTGCAGGGAAGCTGCCCTCGCTGCAGTGGCTTGAGGGGGAAGCAGTGGCAGCTCTTTGCTGGCTGCTTCTTGTCCACCTTCCCCTCAGTCCCCTGGAGCTCCAGGTAATCCCACACCACCTTTGCTTTTCCAATGCTTTGCTGAAGGGTTTCTGAACATGGCAATGAGCTTTTCTGTGCTCCCCATTTATACAGGGGCTCCATATCAGGAAATGTCTCAGTGTCTGGATGGATTCCAAAGTGCCCCTGCCAGGTTAATTGCAGTGAAAAAAAGGCAAAAGAAACCCAGAGCCTGGACTGGGATGCCCCAGGCCCTGCCAAGCACAGGGGTCACTGCTTGGTGCTGATTCTCCAGTCCTGCCTGCTCTGGCCTTGTTCTGCCCTGCTCAGCCATCAGTGCCATTGCAGGAGCAGCAGAACATCCCACAGCTCCTGTGGGTCACTGGTTGCACTGACTTTGTGCTGCAGCCTGAGCTGTGGGGCCTGAGTTGCCTCCAGGCAGGCGGGATTGTTCCCAAATGCCATCCCCTGACTTGGCAGGGCTGTGTAATCCCAGCCCAGGTGCTGTTTCAGTGGTGCTGTGTGCTCCTCTTGCCTTGGCCTGCTGTCAGCAGCTTTGTGCTGCAGCTCAGTGAAGGCAGACTCGGTGTTTCTTGTGTGGGATTTTTGTGTGGGAGAGAAGTCCCTGTCAATTCGTCTCTGGAATTCCATCCCTGGATTGTGACTAACTCAGCTCTCCTGCAGCAGCTCTCTGCTGCTCTCAGGAGAGGATGAAGCTGAGAGCCCTGAGCCAAAATGATCCATGGCAGCCAGAGCAACGCTCACAGCCTGGCTCTGTCCCTGCTTTCAGAGTTCCAGAAACAAGGAAAATAGGCTCTGATTCTTTGCTCTCTCCACCTGTGTGGGAACTCAAAATGTCCCTCAGACATTTTTGGAGGTTCCAGGCCCAGGTCAGAAGCATTTGAGACCCTGGCAGACAACTGGAAACAGCTGTGATTTTGAGTTTGAGCCATGGAATGAGTTACCAACCTTGCAGGAAGAACAAGAAGTCACAAAAGTTTAGATGTTATAGTAGAAGTAGTTACAAAGTAGAGAGAAGAATTTTTTAGTGCTGTACAGGGGGGTTTTAATGCCTGTACAGGGGGGTTTTGGTTTTGTACATGGGGGTCAGAGGTTTTACGATGGAGGGATTTGGGCCTGCCCTGTCCTCCCTCTTTCTTCTTCCTTACCTCCATGTTCTTGGCGATGTTGGTACTCACAGATTGGTTTAGAGTAAAAAAGCACCATTTAATATAGATAGTAGATATTGGGGAAAAACTATAAACATGTAACACGTAATGTACCATATTAAAGACAACAGCAACCCTGGGCGGGGAGAGAAGAAGCAGTCGGGAGTCAGAGAGGATGTCAGGGTGTGTGTGTGCCTCTGCCTGAGCTGTGAGCAAACCACAGCAGCCAGAGAAGAAAATCTTCTAGATAACTTGCAATAAACAACCTTGAGACCTGACAACAAGAGACTGCTGAGCCTTTCCTCGGAAGCACGGGTTGGAGGAGAAGTTTTTCCACCACACGGAGCCACCTTGCAACCTAGGGTGGTCTTTGACACACCTGAGTGCTCACAACTTCCCCCATTTGCTCCATGTCCCTGAGCAGCATTCCTGGGCAGCTGCCACCCCCTGCTTTACAAATAAAGGGCAAAGGTGCCAGAGGGGTCTTTGGGAAGTGCCAATCCCTGGCTGTGTCTCCCTGTGCTTGCTGTAGTTCTCCTGCCTGGAGAGACCTCCATGGCCTGGGGCTTGTCTGGAAAAGTGATCTTGTTAAATTTATCAAAAACTGATGTTAGTAGACACTCAATTTCTGATGAGAAACATCATTTTACTTTTGCCTTTTCCAAGTTTTTTTCCAGGTGCTGCAGAGGATGAGTATTGTAAATGCAGGCGAACCCAATGGGAAGAAATGGTGATGTCTGACTCAATTCAGAAGGCTGAATTATTTCTTTATTATAGCTATGCTAAAATACATTAATATAGTATATAAAAGGAGGATACTAAAACTACATACTACTTTTTCTAACTCTCACCCAACTCGTGACCTTCTCTTGAGAGTCCAGCCCCAGGTGGGTTGGATTGGCCATCAGGCTCAAACAATCCTCACCTGAATCCAATCAAGCACTCACCCCAGGGAAACAATTCTCCAAACACATTCCACATGGGAAAAACAAGGAGCAGAAATAGAAATTGTTTTCTCTTTCATTTCTCTCTGTGCACCTTTATGAAAAATCCCGAGAAGGAGAGAAATGTGCTTGCCACAGATGAGCATCTCTGTGCTCAGACAGTGAGCCAGAAGTCTGTGACTGCCACAGGGGACTTAATTTTCTTTTCCTCCCCTCTTTTAGGACAGGAAAAATCACTGAAGTTGCCCCAGCAATGCTCAAAGTTTTGGTGTTTGAGCAGCCAAACCCAACAGCTCCTGCCCCTGCTCCTGCCCATGCTGTGGGGTCGGTCAGAGGGACACAGGGCTCCTCTTCTCCTCTCTGCTGGCTTTGACTCCCTAGGGTTCACTGAGGCTGGGAATTGCATCCAAAGCCTTTTGAGGCTCCTGGTGCTCGGGGCTGTGGTGCTGGGTGTGCAGAAAGCATCCCAGGCTGTCTACCTCAGATGGGGATGTGCATTTCCACAGTTCCTCAGAGTGGGGAAAGGCCAGGAGGGTGATGGGAGGGGCTTTCTCCCAGGCCTGAGCATCCTCAAAACACCTCAGGGATGTTTTTTAAATGTTTGTTGTCTCTTGTTCCCCAGCCCAGGGCAAAGCTGGAGACAAGGCAGAGAGTGGCAAGTGTGAGTCCCATCTTTCAACCCACCCTTGGATTCCAGTTCCTCCCGGTGGGTCTGTGCTGCCCAAAGTGCAGAGGAAGGAGATGTTTGCTGTTTGTTCACCTGCTGAGCTTGGAAGAGACTATGAGTGTGAAATTCCAGGGGAGATGTGCCTGCTGTGGTGAGTGGAGAGAGAAGCAGTGGCAGCTGTTTGCTGTGTGCTGGTTTCCCACCTTGGCTTCGGTTCCCTGGAGCTCCAGGTAATCCCACACCACCTTTGCTTTTCCAATGCTTTGCTGAAGGGTTTCTGAACATGGCAATGAGCTTTTCTGTGCTCCCCATTTATACGGGGGCTCCATATCAGGAAATGTCTCAGTGTCTGGATGGATTCCAAAGTGCCCCTGCCAGGTTAATTGCAGTGAAAAAAAGGCAAAAGAAACCCAGAGCCTGGACTGGGATGCCCCAGGCCCTGCCAAGCACAGGGGTCACTGCTTGGTGCTGATTCTCCAGTCCTGCCTGCTCTGGCCTTGTTCTGCCCTGCTCAGCCATCAATGCCATTGCAGGAGCAGCAGAACATCCCACAGCTCCTGTGGGTCACTGGTTGCACTGACTTTGTGCTGCAGCCTGAGTTGTGGGGCCTGAATGTGAGGTTGGAATTAATGCAAATTTCCCGGGATTGTGTGTTTGGAGTTGCTGCTTTAGGGGTGGCAAGGTCTGGATTTGGATTTGTTGGCACTGAGTGCTCCTTGTGTCAGCTTTAGGTCTGGATTGCTGGGAATTGTTGGAGGAAAGAGAAGGGAATTGAAATGCACAGATCCATTCCTGGAGAAACGATCAGGATGGGAGAAAAGAGGGTGTGGGACTGCTGGGAGCTCCTGGAGAGAGGGAAAGGACCCAAGGATTGGAAGCAAAAGCCGTTGAACAAAGCCTGAAAAGGGGCAGGGGAAAGAGAGAAAGAATTCTTGCTCCAGGAATCCAGCAGGGGCCAGGAGAGGATCATTTTCCACCCACCAGCTCTTGGTGAAATCCTAATAATGAAGGTCAGAGGAAATTTCTTGTTTGCTGTTAGGTTTGGAATGAAAGGTGCTGTTTCAGAGGGGAATATTCACCTGTTAAAATTCTGCTGGATAAAGGCAAACAGGGAGGAAGCAGCTGGGGAATGAACAGATGGATTTTTGGTGGATACAGGGGAAGATGTGGCAAGGGGTTCTTAGGTAAAATACACCTCACAGGTACCACCAGGAAAAGCCCCAACTGCCCTTCTTTCCAGGCTCTGACATTCCAGAGGGGTAACCAGTGATTAGCACACCCATTTCTATAGTCTGTGGATGCCCAGTGCTTTGTTGGGAAGAGATATTATTAGGAAACAAACAAATCCAGGGATGTAACTCCTGATAAAAAAACTCTGGAGGCTCAGGTGTTGAGTCACGGTAAGGTTTTATTGATTGGGTGGAAAGATTCAGATTTGCTGGGGTTCCTGTGTTTGCTTCAAGCTGCTTCTCCTCGTGAGACCTGGGAATAAGATTTCCCAGTTCCAGTGGCCTGAATAGGAAATGGCACCAACTCCAAAGTGTGGGAATTCTGTACATGCTTCCTTAGTTTGCCCTGGAAAGAGAAAGGAAACACAGTTTAAGCCTACCCTGAGTGTGTCTCCTCTTTTCTGTCACAGGGGGAGTGTTGCAGACCGATGAGAAGAGTTTGTGGTGTAGGGCAAAGGAATAATTCCATTTTATTTTGTGTCCATTTCTAATTCCTGATGAATTTCAGGAGGGGTGGAATCCCCTCTCTGTTAAATCAGTGCCTTTGAAGGTGATTTGAACAGACACACAGACCTTGCCTTACTTTGGAAGTCCTGGTGAGGAAGGGCCAGGGTGGGTTATTGTTGTTTCTGCTTCTTGCAGGGTTGAGAATCCCACTTGTTCCACGAATGAACAGCAGGATTGGTGTTTTGAGGATCCTTTGGCAAATTTCTGACAAGGAAGAGTCCCCACCAAGGTCTTGCCTGTGACACCTGGAGCTGCCCTGGCCCCTGAAAGGCTCCAAATCCCCTGGTGTTTGAGGTGAGCTGCGGCAGAAGGGAGGAGCAAATGCTTGGAATTGATCTCCTGCAAGAACTGCATTTTGGCAGCAGCATCAGCGGGGCTGTGCTGAGAAACCTCTCCAGTCTGTGCTTCCCTGCAGCTCCTCCTCCTGCCCTGGGAGACAGGCTCCCTGCTCCCACTGAAGTGCAGAGCAATGGAAATTCCAGAGATGAAGCATCAGTGTGGAGTGGGAAGTGGGAAGCAGCTGCTGGAGCAGGGTGACCCAGTGAAAGGCACTTCCCAGGGACTTGGCAGCTACGTGGAATCATTCCTTTTTATGGAATGTAGCTGGGCTCCACCACGGAGTCCTAGCTCTGCTCCACCTCAGCCCTGGGCTCTTGCCAGATCAGCTCCTTCTGATCCTGAGCAGGCATAAATTATCCCTATTTGCTTCTCGAGGAAAAGGCTAAGCTTGGTGTCCTGCATTAGGCTTGTTTACAACCTTTGGAGTTTCCTTATTAATGACTGCCCGGGAAGGAGCTTGTGGGATGTGTTCATTGGACAAGTTTGGTCACAGCTGACAGAATTCCTGCTGGCTCCTTCCCCTCCTGGTCTCTCGTGTTTCACTGAGCAGAGCTGGCAGCACTGGGAACATCTTTGTGCTCCTGCTTTTCATCCTCTCCACAATCCAGAGGGTCTGGCAGGGGAGAAAGACAGGAGCCAGGAATATCAGGGCAAGGAGGAACTTCAGCTGCTGTCAAGCAGAGACTTCCCAGGCCTGGATCTGAAAAGACTCAGGCATTGCAACCCTCTGGCTCCTCTGTCCCATCCTGGACTGGATGTTTCTAGTTTTGGTTTAACAGCTTGTCCCAGGAAACCTGCACAAGCCTGACACAGCATTTGTCCTGGTTTCTGAAGAACCTGGAATTCACACCTTTGTCCCTTGGCAGTGTTTTCTGCTCTCATTTCCCTCTGAGCACTCGCTGCTGGGATACCCTGGGACAAGCCCAGTGTATGGGATGGAAACTGCTCCGTGTCTCACCAGGAGGTTCAAAGCCCACTTGGGTTCCTGGGAGCAGTCAATGAGCTCGGGGTCCTGCTGGGAGGGTCAGCATTCCCTGTGCCAGGAGGGGCAGAGCAGGACACGTTGTGAGAGCTGTTTTCTACAAACGTGTGCAGTCCCTCAAGCACTTGCAGTAGGTGCTAAATCTCCATCTCCTTCCAAAACCCCAACCCGAGGCCCCTCCCGGCTTCCAGCGGGGGATATTCCAGCGGGAGCGATCCTGGGGCGGCCCCTGGGGCAGAGCAAAGGTGCCAGCTCAGGGCAGGGCTGGGAAAGGACCGGCACAGCCCCAGGGATCTGCAGGGGAGAGCTGGGGAGGCAGCTCGGGCCGAGGGCTGGGACATGTCCAGGGCCTGGGGGCAGGAGCAGGGGCTGGAATTGGGCACCGTGAGGAGACCCCGGGCAGGGAATGCCCCCACCGGAGCTGGAGCCGTGGGATGCTGGAATGGTTTGGGGTGGAAGGGACCTGGAAAGCTCATCCTGCTCTACCCCTGCCACGGGCAGGGACACCTTCCACTCTTCCAGCTTGCTCCAAGCCCCGTCCAGCCTGGCCTTGGACACTGCCAGGGATCCAGGGGCAGCCACAGCTTCTCTGGGCACCCTGCGCCAGGGCCTCAGCACCCTCACAGGGAACAATTTCTTCCCAAGATGCCATCTATCCCTGCCCTGTGTCAGTGGGAAGCCATTCCCCGTTGTCCTGGCACTCCAGGGTGACAGGTACTGCAAAGGGAAGGAGTCAGAGATGGGGACCAGGAATGTTTCTTGCTTTTCCCAGCTAAAAGAGACTTGAATCACAATAGCTTGGGATACTATTTGTTACATGACCTCAGTGAGGGCATGTGGCCATATCTGCTGTATTTATGGATACTTTATTCCCT